CCCCCCCCCCCCCCACCAAAACTAAGAAGGTTAAATTTGGATATAAGAAAATGAGAGGATTGCATAGGATAGAAGAAATAGGAAAACCAAACAATTCAAATACCTTAACAAAATTTTTCCATATACTGAGGAGTGAGGAACAGTGAACCGGAAACATTGTGTTTTTTAACTGACCTCTTTATTACGGAAAAAAGGTTCTCCATATTGCTTGAAAATATCAGCTACAGATGTTCCGTCAACCTCCTCCTCCACCAAAGCATCACTGCTCTCATAAATGCAAAAAAGAAAACACGGAAAAAGTTCTGGAGAAACTTTAATGTGTGCATGAAATAGAATATTTCTATTGTACTAATACACGAAGTCACAAAGAAATACACAGCTTTATCCTATTGATACAATACATTTGTTTAAAGTCAAGTGATGTCAATCGAATATAATCATCAATTGAAATTCTTTTTGGTTATGCTAGTCTATTGGATATTCAAATGTTGCATGCTTCAGTTACCCTCAACACTATTTTTCACTTTGAAAAGAAGACAGATGGGGCAATTAACACACTAACCTATCAAAAAACGAATAAGAAAGCACATGTGACAATATCTTTCCCACAGTTGTCTTCCCAGAGCCCATCATTCCTGTTTGTCAAGTTCAAAATATTTTGAAATTTGAATACCCAAAGTAATTATACTTGGAATGTATGCAAGGACAAGTACTTCAGTTCTGCCACAAGACTAACCAACAAGATATATACAGCGTCCACTTAAACATGGTTCGATCTCTTGTGATTTAATCTGCAAGTGTATTGATTCAAGTAAGATAATGACACGTAGGTGCTTAGACAAGCAACAACTGAGCTCAGATTACCATGTCTAGATTCTATACTAAACTGAAGGGTATAGCATCACTAGACTGAAAGGGCTTAAATTAATTAAAAGTGACAAAGGGAATCATGGTATACCTTCAAAATCAACTTTTCATCAATAGGAGCTTGAAAGCTTCCAGATTCCAATGTCGAAGCTACATTGAAAAATTATGTCAACACTCAAATAAGGCAGCATTTATTACAGTCAACAACAAACTGCATCTCATCCAAGCATATTTATATAGTACATTTGGCCAAACACGTGCCTTCCCTTTCTATAACTGCAGATAATGAAAGGTACCTTTCAATGTAACTGATGCAACCACGTCTAGCTCATCTTGGTAGAAACAGATCTCAAGGATCCAGCATGTAAGAACATTACCCTTTTTAATAAACTATACAAAGTGTTTGAAACCAAATTCAGAATGTGAATTATTACTCTCTTCACATTAAGCAACAAGCCGGAGTTTCTTCATTAATTGATGTGATTATTGTTTCGAAATGCATCTCGGATTTACATCAAAACATGTTCCTCATGATTTTCAATATAGAAAGTCCACCAAATTCAGTTTCAAATAACTGAAACCGATTATTTCAAAATAAATTAATTTTATAAATTAAAAATAAAACTTTCTGGTTCCTTTACTTTATTTTTTCCAGCATCATTTTATTAACTTCAAAAGTGTTAAAGCTCTGATGAAACTTCATTTCACTTTCTGCAAATAATTACTACCTTCAAAAGACCTTCCATTGTAAGTAATTCACTGACAAATTACAATAATTACACCTTCTTCCCCTAATCAATAGTGGTAACACAACTTTTGGTCTGCAAGACGAATAGTTCAAATTGTAGTACTCCTTTCCGTAAACAATCACACTCAAAATATAAAAATCGAGAAGAACAAAAGTGCCACTAAATCCAGCATAGCCTCTTTTGAAACCGTATTATTAATTTAACTAAATTGATAGAGATAAATCACTGAAATTAGCTTCTATTATTATTGGACCGTCTCGCCCGTAGGCCGATTGGTATCGCCGACTCGGCCGTAGGCCGATTGGTATCGCCGAATATAAGGGCTACTATGCGTGTGAGGCCGACTATAAACCTGTGCACTGCCTAGGCCGATTCACGATCTGGTCTCACCCGAATGTAACCTTGGTCGACTCACCCGACTGTAACCTTGGCCGACTCTCCCTCTCAAAGCCAGATACCGATCGACTCCCACCCATAAAGGCTTACTCGGTCATTATCCGATTGGACACTCAGTAAATGGCGAGGTCCCACCTTCACTCACCAAGTATTTTCTAGATTGTAACGGCTAAAGAGATCTCCATATTCACGGGGCCCATAAGGCCCGTGAACAAGAAACTATAAAATCCAAAACCCTAGAGTTAAGAAGATAGATTACACTTTTGAATGCTCTGGCTCTAAGGCACGATCTAGGAAAAAACCCTAGTCCACCCTTTGGCCGGATCAATTATATTAATAGTTATCACACTATCTTGATAAAGACAGACACAACTAACATATATTATATTATTGTAACAGATATATACTTAGGTCTAAAACTTAAAAAATAAAAAAATAAAAAAATCATGGTTTGCAAATGATCAAAGTATGTTACGAAGAATTTTTTAGAATAATAAATTTGGACTTGTCAGGTTTTATTTCATTGTTAGTCAAACTGGAATGAATCACTTACTACTAAATTGATACTATACAATCAAGGATGAATTTTTGAACTTTTTCAGTATATGTTATTTCATGTGCATTCTCAGTAATTTCTTTGAACTTTTTTAGTATATGTTATGTTCTGAATTTTTGTTTTCAGTTTCTGAACCATGTTTCTGTCTTTGAATTTATAATATGTTATGAATTTTTATTTTCAATTTTTGAATCACATTGCGGTATTTTGGTCAAGATTTTGAACTGGATAAGTTCAAATCAAAGAAGGATTTTGGAAGGTTTTATTTATTTGATTTTTTTTTTAGTTTTATTCATAAATAATATTAATTTATTGTATTTTTTATTTATTGTATTTTTTATTAATATATATATATATAATGAAAAAAAAATACAATAAAAAGCATGGCGTTCTGGAAACGGGCCATTCTGAATCCAGAACGGCCCTGGCTTTATCAATGTGATAATTTCTTCCTTATTGACAATACCCCCGATGTTGTGCGGGTTAAACTTGCGGTGGTTCACATGGAGGGCCGTGCGTTGCAATGGCACACGACCATGGATAAAACTACCAATTGTTCTAATCTTCCTTGGGTTGCATACAAGAAATTGGTTCTTGAACGGTTTGGAGAAGTTTGTGACGATCCTATGGCTGAATTGATGCGTTTGAGGCAGAAGAAATCCGTGGTTGAATTTTACGAGGAGTTTGATGCCATTATTACTCGTCTGAATTTGTCTGAGGATTATATGTTGAGTTGTTTTTTAGGCGGATTGAAACATGATATACAAATGGTGGTGCGGATGTTTCAACCGACCACGGTGAGTAAGGCCTTTAAATTGGCAAGATTGTATGAAGCTGCTAATGTTCCACAAGCATTGAATTTTGTTAGTTCGCGGTCACAGAAAGGGGTGCTTGGTTCTAGACCAGTAATTGCAGATAAATTTGGTTCCTTGAATTTGGGGAGTGATAAGAGTAAGGATAAGGTGAGACCTGGCAAAAGCTTAACACCGGCTTACATGAATGAGCGGAGGGCCAAGGGTCTTTGTTATTTTTGTGATGAACCATATTCTCCTGAACACAGTTTAACACATAAGAGGTTGCAGGTGCATGTCATGGAGGTGCTGGATGAGGAGGAGGTTAGTGAAGATGTGAGTGAAGAGGTAACAACGGTGGAGGAACCTCAAATTTCAGTCAACGCATTAACGGGCATTGCCAATTTCAGAACAATGAGGGTCAATGGGTATCATAAAAAATCTCCTCTGCATATTTTGATTGATAGTGGCAGCACGCATAATTTTCTGGATATACAGGTGGCTAAGAAGTTTGGATGTAAGATTGAGAACATGGATCCTGTGAATGTAACAGTAGCAGATGGTAACAAATTGAGAATTTCTTCTATTGTGAGAAACTTCACTTGGACAATTCAGAGAACTACATTTACTTCAGATATGTTGTTGATTCCATTAGGCTGTTGTGACCTTGTATTAGGTGTGGAATGGCTGATCAAACTGGGTAACATCACTTGGAATTTTGATAAGTTGACTATGGAATTTAAAGTTCAGGGCAAGAAGCATGTATTAAGAGGGGCTACATCTAGCGGTATTAAGACAGTAAAAAGGCAGCAGATTGGTAAAACTTTGGAGGAAGGAGTATATTTTTCAATGATGCAGTTATGTACAGAGGATGGAGGATTGCTGCAATCTCTAACAACTCATGCAGATCAACCTGGGTTACCAGCAATAATAGTTCAGATTTTGGAGGAATTCTCAGATATTTTTGAGGAACCTGAGCAGCTGCCCCCTTTTAGACATGAACATGATCATAAAATACCACTTGTACAAGGAGCTAATCCAGTTAATAAGAGACCTTATAGATATGCCAAGCACCAAAAGGATGTGATTGACAAGTTAGTACAAGAATACTTAAAGTCGGGAGTGATACAAAATAGTAGTAGTCCCTATGCGAGTCCGGTAGTGTTGGTGGGAAAGAAAGATGGATCATGGAGACTCTGTATTGACTATAGGGATCTGAACAGAAATACGGTGAAAAACAAGTTTCCAATACCATTGGTGGAAGATTTAATGGATGAGTTGCAAGGATCTTCAATTTTTTCCAAGATAGATTTAAGAGCCGGGTATAATCAAGTCAGAATGGATCCGGAGGATGTTCATAAAACAGCTTTCAGAACTCATGGAGGACATTATGAGTATGTTGTCATGCCTTTTGGCCTGACTAATGCACCTGCTACATTTCAAGGTCTTATGAATACAATATTTCAGCAGTTTCTCAGGAAGTTTCTTTTAGTATTTTTTGATGATATACTTGTTTACAGTGGCAGCTTGGATGACCATGTTATTCATCTAAGACAGGTTTTTATTACTCTGAGGAATAATTCTTTGTTTGCTAGGAAGTCTAAATGTTTCTTTGCTGTCAATAAAGTAGAATATTTGGGGCATTTCATTAGTGAGAAAGGTGTGTCCACAGACCCTAGCAAGGTGGAAGCTATGAGGAATTGGCCACTACCACTAACTATCAAACAACTACGAGGTTTTTTGGGGTTAGCTGGTTATTATAGAAGATTTGTGAAGGGTTTTGGTGTTGTGGCGAAACCCTTAAGTGATATGTTAAAGAAAGATAATTTTGTTTGGACTCAAGAGGCCAAGGTGGCATTTCAGCAGCTTAAAGATTTATTAAGTAATACACCTGTTTTGGCTTTACCCGACTGGAATAAGGTTTTCATTGTGGAGGTAGATGCTTCTGGTTTCGGTATTGGAGCAGTACTTATGCAGGATCATCATCCCATCGCTTACATCAGTAGAGTATTAAACCAACAGCAGCAATCTTTATCTACTTATGAAAAGGAACTACTGGCTGTAGTATTTGCGGTACAAAGGTGGAGACATTATCTTCTCAACAGACATTTTGTTGTTAAAACTGATCATTACAGTTTAAAATACTTATTGGATCAAAGATTGACCACTGTTTTCCAGCAGAAGTGGTTAGTTAAGCTAATGGAATTTGATTTCTCCATTGAATACAAACATGGTCATGAAAATGTTGCAGCTGATGCTTTATCCAGAATCGAGCATGAGGAGGATTATGTGGAATGCAAAAATCTGACTACTCATCAATTACAATCTGATTTGGTGGACAGGATTAAGAATTCATGGGTGATTGATGTTAATATCCAAAAATTAATTAGTGAATTGCAAATTAATGCTGCCTCCCACAAACATCATACTTGGCATTCAGGAGAATTGAGGAGAAAGGGTAAATTAGTAGTGGGAAAGGATGCGAAGCTCAGAAACGATCTTTTAAATTGGCTACATTGTTCTGCTATTGGAGGTCATTCTGGTATTGGTGCTACTATGCAAAGAGTCAAGTCAGTGGTGTATTGGAAGGGTATGTCATCAGATGTTAAGACTTTTGTATCTAAGTGTACCACTTGTCAAAAATGCAAGAGTGTGACTATTGCATCGCCTGGACTGCTGCAACCCCTTCCAATTCCTGAACAAATTTGGCAGCACATTAATATGGACTTTATTGAAGGTTTACCGAGTTCTTATGGAAAACAAGTGATATTTGTAGTGGTTGACAGATTGAGCAAATCTGCTCATTTTATGGCATTATCACATCCTTATACAGCCAGTGATGTAGCCCAAACTTTCATGGATCATGTCTTTAAGTTGCATGGTTGCCCAAGCTCAATAACTAGTGATAGAGATCCAGTATTTGTTAGCAGTTTCTGGCAGGAATTTATGGCATTTCAAGGCATTCAGGTTCAGCTTTCTTCAAGCTACCATCCTCAAACGGACGGTCAAAGCGAGATAGTGAACAAGTGTTTGGAAACTTATCTAAGGTGCATGTGTGCAGATACTCCCCATCAGTGGAGTAAATGGCTGCCTTTAGCTGAATGGTGGTACAATACCACTTACCACACAGCCATTAAAGCTACTCCATATGAAATCATGTATGGTCAACCACCTCCAGCTTATCTTCCTTACTTACCAGGTGAATCCAAGATTGAGTTGGTTGATAGGAGTTTATCAAAAAGGGAAGAGATGCTTAAATTGCTCAAATTTCACTTGAAAAGAGCTCAGGAGAGAATGAAGCAACTTGCTGACCAACATAGGAGGGATAAGCAATATCAGATAGGGGATTTGGTCTATGTGAAACTGCATCCATATAGACAAGTGTCAGTGGCTTATAGGAGCAACGCTAAATTAAGTCCTAAATTTTTTGGCCCTTATAGGGTACTGGATCGAATTGGAGAAGTGGCTTATAAATTAGAATTACCTCCACAGTCAAAAGTGCACAATGTATTTCATGTTTCTCAGCTTAAGAAACATATTGGTAATACAACAGCATCATCAAATTTACCATTCCAAGCTGAAGATGCATTTTATGAAAAGGAACCTGAATTGATATTGGACAGGATGACAGTAAAAAGGAAGGGAGTAGCTGTAACCAAAGTACTAGTTAAATGGAAGCATAAACTACCAGAAGACTCTACGTGGGAATTTTACTATGATCTTAAAAAAAAGTATCCATCGTTCCATCCTTGAGGTCAAGGATGTTTCCAAGAGGAAGGCATTGTTACGAAGAATTTTTTAGAATAATAAATTTGGACTTGTATTCTTGCTGAGTCAGCAAGTTAGTTAGTTGTTAGAATTGTTGGAGTTTAAATAGCTGTCAGGACAGAGGGATTAGGCATGTATTCTTGTAATCCTTCTATATCAAATTCATTCAATAACAGTACACTCTTCGGATTCCTTTCTCATATAGGTATCCCTATTCACTCTTGTTCTTCGAATTGTTACAATTCCTAGTTCTAAGAATTTTTCTAACAAAGTATGAATAGTTTTTACAGAAACCTGGAACGTTGTTACGCGAACAAGCAACTAGCAATGATGCTGTCCTCGTTGAAGGTCTTGCGAGACGCAACTTGGACGAAACAAAAACATGTTCCTTAAATCCACCGAACTTTAGAAGAGAGCCATCTGACTCTGTTCTCCCTAGCTTTTGGGAGTGCAGCATGGCTGAAAATTGCAAGGCTTTGGTGGCTTCCATGGCGCTTCACCTCGGAACTGTGATAATGGTGTCGGCGCAATTATAAGTTGCTAATGATAATGCTGAGCCACTTTTTGTTTTCGAAACTACCATAATGACACTTTAAAAATTCCTGTATCCAAAAGGTTCCAAGTTGATCAATGAAAATAGAGCAAGACGACAAAAATCGTACATAAGACAGGGTAAGTGAAGCCAGAATGAAAACTGAACAAATACTATATACTATATACGAACACACATTATTTCGAAATCCGATATGATAAAGTGATAAGCACGTGAATATGTATTTATAGAAAAAACAAACAAATTGAATCCTTTTATAAGTTAAAATTAATTTAATCAGTTTACAGAGAAGTAAGATCATAATTTATTAGATTGATTTTAATTATAGAAAAATATCCTCAAACAACTTTCAATTGAATTAGTTCGTTTTTAAATATCAAAAATAAAATGCACGCAGAGTGGAGAGAGATATTTCGAACCTCGCATTTCACAGAGACACACACAAAAACCGAACCTTTTCCAGCATTTTAAACTTTTAACATGGTCAGAGAAAAAGGGGCACCAGAAAAAAAGAAAAAAAAAAAAAGATTGCAGTTAAAATTATCGATATCGATCAGAAATTCATAATGCAGTTGCAGAGTTCAGATGTATAATCTACGGATACGGATATGGGCCGGCAAAAGTGGTGTTTCTGTTGTCCAAATTGTTCGGAGCTAGAATTCTAGTTTTAAATATGAAATAAAGTTATAGTGTAAAGGAAATATTTATTTTTTATGTGCTTAAGGTTGATCCTACAGTTTTCCTAAAACTATATGAATCTCATCCGTTTATTTTATTTTATTATGTAACAAATTGAGTTTATAACTTAAATGTTACCATTAAGTTTAATGGGGGAGATATGCAACTGCGCATTGTAGTTTTAAAAATTTGTTTAATAGTTAGATGGGTGACTGTATCCAAAAGGTTCTAGTCTTTGTTTTTTTTTTTTTGTCTATGAAAAATATACTGTTGATAGTAGTGACTAATCTCATTGTTACATTAGAGACACCTTTATGGGATAGCTGGTCCCAAAATTTAACATGTCTGCTTACACAAGATAGATTATGGTATCACGGAGATAATTTGGTTCCCTAAACATATGTACTTATTTTAAAATTGTCTTATGAGAGAAAGAAGTTTTTATTTTATTTTATTTTTGTATAATTCTTGTTTTTTGTCTGTATAGTTTCAAAAGTTTTATTTTTTACTCTCTACAGTTAAAAATTACAAGCATTAGTACATTTTAGTTTCAAAACATTTTTTTTTCTTTCCTTTTAGTAGCCTCTGTTGTCTGTTTCTAAAAAGAGCTAAAAGAAAAAATTTATACAACTAAATGGAATTAAAATAGAAAACTTTAATTATAAAGATTAGAAAGTAAAAATTATGAAACTCTAGTAATAAAAAAATAACTAAACCTTTACTGATTTATCATGCACAATCATGTGTTTTGTTAACATGTTGTCCTTATAATATTATGAAATTAAAATTTTAAAAAATAATTAAAATAATTATCTTTTATAAAAATTAAAAATATTTTTAAGAATTAATTGGATGTGTATTATTAGTATAAAAAAATTATTTTTTCATTTTCATAATTTTACTTACTTTATCTTTTAGTCCATATAATTTAAAATAGGCATTTTTAAATCTTATAGTTATCTTTTTATCTTTTTTAGTTTTTAAAGTTTAAGATGCATCTTTTTAATCTTGATACTTTTAGTTTTTTTTTTCGTTTAGTCCTAATTATTAATTTTTTTGTGATATTATCTTCATTTTTGTGAGAGTAAAAAAATGGTATTTCAACAATGAATGTTGAGAAATCTAATTTGGAGTAATTCTAATAAAATAAATTTAACATCATACATATAAAGTTAAATTAATATCTCTATCATATTAATACAAGAGAAATGAAAAATATTAAAAAAAAATCAATGACAATGACCAAAAGGATTAAAAAAAAAGCAAGTATATAGACTAAAATTATCTATCTTAAACTATAAAAACTAAAAATGATTGAAAAAAGATAAGTATGGAGACTAACAAATTTTATTTTATGTTATATGAACTAAAAGGTAAAGTAAATGAAAATATGATGACTTAAAAAAGAATTTTAACCTTGGTATGAAAAATCGTATACCAACAAATGTATTGATCAGTTAGCACAAAGTTATTTTAACTTAATTAGTGATATCAAATTCAGATTCCAAAAATATTATTATATTAATGTTTTCAATGAATTTCGTTCAATGTATTCTTTATATTTAAACTAGCAAATTCAATTTAAATATGTCCAACAAATTATGATTTTTAAATAAAACTTGATCATTATTGTGAGATTTGTATTATTTAGAGTAAATATAACAATGATTAATTGATTAACATGAATATTAATAACAAATTAAAGAAAAGAACCAAAATAAATTGGTACAAAAATACATACAAAGTATTCTCAAAACCATAATCCATGAGAGTAGGCACAATGGGATACAAAGTAAGTTTGTAAGAGGTGTTTTTGACACCTAACTTTAACTTCAACTTGAGATTTTAAAGAAAAACATTACAACTATCATTCAATATTGATTTTACACATATATGATCTTATTATCTTTTAAAAATCTATCAATAACCACTTTAACTCCTAAAATTTTGAAACTTGAAATTTCATTAGATGATTATCCTAAATTCTTGAACATCTCTTTTAAGTTTTATTCGAGTAATTCCTTTTCGGCCTCTTCCTTCAAGTATGTTAAAAATTTGTGGATAATAATTAAAATATTTGGATAGAAAATTTTGAATCATGGAGTCCTTTTAATAAATTTATATAAAAACACTTATAAGGAAAAAATATGAAAAAATTGGCTTATCCATAAGTTAATTTTAATTTATACATATTTTCCTCCTTCATAATTTTTTTATCTCAAAAATGCTTTTGAAATGTTTTATCCAAACAAATCTATAATAGTAGTTGAAATACATGTAATATAAAAAAATGTATAAAAGATTTTATTTATGGTATCAATTAATTACAAATCAAGTTTTGATGTAATTTTTATACATATTCGCATCTTGTACCCAATATAGGAAATAATGGGATGAAATAAAAAATTAGTTTAAAAAATGGGAAAGTTAAGAGTGTAAAAAATAGATTTTAAAGACGAGGTGTGAGTGACTTCATTGTTGGAGAGATAAACCAAAAAAGAGAAAAACAATGAAGAAAAAAAATTTTATAAATAAAATTTATTTCAAAGGTAAATAAATTAAAAAGATTATTATAATTTTTTGAAAATAAAAATAGATATCATTTGCTGTTCTTGTGTTTATAGCCTATAGGCCAATCTTTATGCGTGTCTAGGCCCCGACTTATTATTTTGGGGCAATAGACAACGGCATCAGTTTGGGTCAAAGAGGAAGTTAAGCCCAAATAAAATTGAAGCTAATTATTTTGGGCCTACCCAACCCATATAAGAAATAGCCCATGTTTTCTGCAAATTCAATTTGGATTCGAGAATGAATACTCTACCCTAGGTCCCACCGTAAGCTTTTCTGCATATTTGTTCTAGCACCTTCTTCGTTCACCTCTTTTCCGTCGCAACATAACGCTACGCTGCAATAATTCGCCGCTGCAGAGTTGTCGAAGTTCAATCTCACTTAACATTAACCTGAATCTCTTTCGCCTTGCCTCTGAGTTCATTGTCTTTCTTCCAAAATGGCGACGGTGATGCAGAAAATCAAAGATATCGAAGACGAGGTACTTATCCTGAGTGGAATTATTGTGGATTTGCGATTTATTCAAGCCGAACATTAAACTTTTTCAGCAGTGTTGATTTGGCACTTTAAAATAATTTATACACATGTTTGTCTGCCGCAGTAGGGTTTTCCTTTTTATTTTTTATATTTCTCAGTTAAGTTCTATTTGATTTTGTTGCCAGAAGTTCATATTGTAATTATGAAAGCTTTCATTTTCAAATCAAATGTATACACATTGGGGTTGTAATGAATTCCGTAGTATTCCTGGTCGAATTGCATTATGTAATTCTTCAGGAGTAGGTAATCGATATCTAGCCAACGTGTTAGATAATATATACAGATTTTTTTCTTTTCAATGTAGTTGCTGCAAACGTTATTTTATCATTTAGTTATTATCTTGAGTGCAATCATTGGTTAATTGTACTTTGCAATTTGCAGATGGCAAGGACCCAAAAAAACAAGGCTACTGCTCATCATTTGGGCTTGCTGAAGGTAAGCACATAAGTGCATTTTGTTTAATTATTAAATGGCTTATGTTAATAACCTGTGTGCTGTTCTGATTTTGTTTTGGTGGTTGATTGCGTCGTTTTGGCTTTAGTTGTGGTTAATTATTGAAGACCATGGAATAACTTGTTTTTATTTGAAATTTGGAGGAAAATGTTTCTTTCAAGTACTGAAATATTGGTATTCTTATATGAGTTGGCTGAAGTGGATGATTGTTGCTGGGATTGCATCTGGAAGTTTATCCAGTTCATGATGAAATTGTTAGCACTAATTTTATTTTATAAGTTGTAGACATAAGCCACATAGCGCATTCTGCTTATGCAATTGATCTAGTTTGTCTTATATGTTACAAGGATTCTCATTGTTTTTTGTAATGACTTATTTCTATCCCCATCTCTATATTCACAGTGGAAGTTATATTTGTAGGCATAGTACTTTCTGCTGGTGCTATCTTCTGTCTCCCCTCTTCACCCATTATAGGATGCTGTGTATAGTGATTTATTTATGATATTGGGTACATGATGCAAATACATTTATGCCTTTTGGGTAAAGGAAGGCCAACATATAATAAACTCTGAACATATGGAGTTTTATCCTGCTTATAGTTGTTTTTCTTCTTGTTTCTATGGTCTACACGGATCTTTCATATCAATTTCTTCTGATATATGACATTGAAGGCAATATGGGCATCTCTGAATTCTGCTTCTATGTTAATCAACCTTACACAAGTATCATTAGGATTTTATTCCTCATTGGCCCCTTCTTTGAGCTTTCCAAGTATCTCTTCTGTTTTTATGTATTCTGTTGCTGTTTTTGTTAGGAGTTGATTCATTATTTGGGACTTTGGGCAACTGTCTTGTGCAGGCTAAACTTGCAAAGCTGCGGAGGGAACTCCTTACACCTACATCAAAAGGAGGTGGAGGTGCTGGTGAAGGTTTTGATGTCACTAAAAGTGGGGATTCAAGAGTTGGTCTTGTGGGCTTCCCTTCAGTTGGCAAATCTACTCTACTAAATAAGTTGACTGGGACATTTTCTGAGGTATGGAGATATTCCAGGTGTTATAAATTTCTTCTTTAATGTAGGTGTATATTATACGCTTATGTTTTATTTATTTTCTGTGTTTTGGAAAGTGAATTTTGATGAGCCCAAGGAAGTGCAACCTTTTGACAAGAAAAAGAAAATGAGAGCCTAAAGAGGATAAAATATAGGCATAGTAGGAAACCTCTTGAGAAACTAAAAAGGGCTATTGTACACAAGGCTAAAATGTCAGATTCAAAATATTATTACGCCAAAACTTTCTTAGGAATAGTCATCCTCTTCTAAACCTGGTGAGCTATGTAAGTATAGATCTCCCAATCCCATACAAGTTCCACTTCTCAACAATTTCGGTTGTCCAGATTCCATAGCACTAAGGGTGAACTACAAACCGAAGTTCTAGTGCTCTGCCTTTCTTTTGGTTAATGCAACAAAAGTTATGCATTGTGTTTATTAAGTAAGCAACCACAATGTGCATGCCGGATAATTTCCTCTTTATATTGGGTTTGGGTGGTGGGAAGCATAACAATTTTCCAAATCATCTAAAGTTTAGCTTGCATCGAAGATTTTTCTGAAGATTTTATGTTTTCGTTTATAGGTTGCTTCCTATGAGTTTACTACCTTAACTTGCATCCCAGGTGTGATCACATATCGTGGAGCTAAAATCCAGGTATCTCTACTTAAGCAAGCTATATGTTAATAAATTCATCACCCTACTATGCGCAAGATATTCTGATTGTGAGTTGATAAACTTGGGATGCCTTATGCTATGTTTTGTGGTACCTGTTTTTGTGATAATAGTTGGATGTAAGAGAACATTAAATGATATGTGAATTATGCCACAATATGTTAATAGCTTCTTGCTATAAGCTGCATGTGTACTCAGTATTTTAAGGAACATCAGCATATGGGTTTTGGTGAATTTGATTTCTCCTCTCATTGTTTATATTTCCTCTATTAGTAAATTGGGTTGTTTGTGTTGGTTGTTGGACCAGGTATCCCTTGATGACTTAGAAGAGATACACCTACAGTTGATTAAAGCTTTGTCTGGTGTCATTTGGTTGTTTCTGTTTATATTTTTATCCATATTACAAAAGTATTTATTTGAAGTTTTTTTTGATTGGACTGGCTGTAGGTTTTTTTAATTAAAAAATTGAGAATATCTCTTTAGTCCATAAGGTTTGTTATGCTTGTACAATTTAGGCTTTAAAGGGTTAATGTCAACTGTGTTTTCTGAATCTATCTTTGGAGAACCAAAATAGTCTCATTAATATTGTTTACTTCAAAATAAAGTTTTCACCCTGAAAGTGTATCTCAATTAGTTTGGACTTGGCTGTAGTCTCATTAACTGTGATATATATTTAATTTATGTTCAATTTTGTGTGGCAGTTGTTGGATCTCCCTGGAATTATTGAGGGTGCTAAGGATGGAAAGGGTAGAGGAAGGCAGGTAAGAAATATGGTTTGCTTTGGTCATGGTTTAACTACATTTGATATCATTAGTAACAAGATAATTAGATAATTCCAATTAACCTTAGCCAAAGCGTATCTTTTGCTGAATGTATAGTTGAGGTGAGATCTATGGCATATTTAGAGATAATAGGGTTTTATGTTTTGTCATAATATGAACTGGGCAGGGGATTCCTGCAAACTGTTTTGGTAGTTTAACACACTGGTCTTGCTCTCTTTATTTTGTGCTGTTAAATTGTAAGCATTGAATACTGTCTTCCTTGTAATATTTTTTGTATTTACTTGTACAATGAATCTTACATGTAAATGATATAGCTCTCAAGGTCTGCCTATAAAATATTTCACTTGCAGCAACTAAGGACCATGTTCACAATGCACCTTTCATTTTTCACATCTCATTCACACACCGACAAACACTCATTTTCTTTCATATACTGTTTTGCAAACGCAGGTTATTAGTACTGCAAGGACATGTAATTGCATTTTAATAGTCCTTGATGCAATAAAGCCAATAACTCACAAGCGTCTTATAGAGAAAGAGCTAGAGGGATTTGGTATAAGGTAACATGTAATATTGATTATTTGCTTTGTTTATGTTATGTCACCAATATTCTGGATAAGGCAGGGGCCTCTTGCAGTTATTTTCCCACTTGTGCAGCATCCCATACATGAATGAATACTTCACTTTTTTGCTCTTTTTTAAATATATTTCTTAATGGAGCATGAATATGATGAATGAAGATTGTAGTGGTTAGGCCTTTGACACTAAAAGTAAGCATTTCTGCCTTCATTGATGACAACAGTTGCACCTGTATGACTGAAGTAACTATGATTTGCTGTTTTGGTAATCATGTGGTAATGTTGAGAGATGATAATTGAATCTTGTGGGGGCTTACTTCCTATTGGGTCTTTGTTGAAGCAGCCATTTATGAATTGGCTTTATTGTTTCAAGTTTCAACAACCATGTCTGTTTTATTTATATATTAATGAAAAATGTACTGTTTTACTGGTGACCTTGTTAGAAGTCTCAGATTTCTATTTGGCATCCTACTTTTGACTTCGCTCCAAATTAGGAGGGATGGAAGTGCAGCAGGGGGTCTTTACATTCGAATGACCAACAAGAGAAGCAAGGTGGGAGGGGGTGACTTGGTGGGGCCATGGTCACCCCAATTTTTTAAGGGTATTTAAATAATTTTAAAAAAAATTTGCCCCCCTAAAATATATATAAAAAATGATTATCTATCTAATTTTTAAGTTTATTTTTTTACGTATTATTAATGTTTGGATTTTTTCATTGTAAATCAATTAGAAATTATCTTGAGTACAATTTTAAAGCAATTATTATAAAAGTTAACAATTTTATCATACTTGACGATCTATAATTGCATGACAGTGTAAAAATCATTTATACTGTTAATGTATTTAAATTAAATCCCCAATCTCTTTTTTGTACTTAATATTGTTATGTGTTTTTTTATTCATAAAAGATTAGTTTTATATTAAATTTTTTACATATGTCAAGCATGTAAAAATTTTAAACTTCTGTACTAGATCATATTTTTTTGCTCGTCCTCCCTTTAGCCAAAATACTGGCTTTGGCCCTGAAAGGAAGTGTATGTAACCAACTGTGCCTGTGGCAAGGTCTGCTGGGAGAGGAATTCAGTTCAAGCAGATAATTTGTTTTATATTATGTGCTATGAATTATATTGTCTTTGGCTGCTTTGCAATTCAGATGACCAAAATCATATGTATATATTTTTGTAATTAAAATTTTGATTTAAGATTTCCTGGTTTTCTATTTTCTTCTCTTCATAATAATTTGTTCCTCTTTTATTAATTAAATTCATTTTATGACCGTAGGTTAAACAAAGAGCCACCAAATCTCACTTTTAGGAAGAAAGATAAAGGTGGAATCAATCTCACCTCAACTGCCACCACAACGCATTTGGATCTTGACACTGTGAAGGCTATATGTAGTGAGTACCGAATTCACAATGCAGATATTACTCTAAGGTATGATGCCACTGCAGATGACCTTATTGATGTCATTGAGGGCAGTAGAGTATATATGCCTTGTATCTATGTTGTGAACAAGATTGATCAGATCACACTCGAGGAACTGGAGATCTTGGATAAGCTACCACATTACTGCCCAATTAGGTAATTCTTCAAATCATTGATCTTGCTATTGTCTCAATCCTTTTTCCCGTTTGAACAAAAGAAGATCATTAGAATTTTGTACATCCTTATGTGAAAGCACTTAGAGGTATTATTTCTTGTTTATCATTAGTTTTTTAGGAATTTATTTTGGGTTATTCTTGTGATATTCTCACTCAACAAAAACTACCGGAGATTTTTGCTGAATTGTTGTTTAATATTTGTTATGGTCTCTTTTATTGCCTTCAATTTGCTTCGACAGACTATAGTTGCTTGGCCCATTAATCCTTCATACCCATGCCCAGAAACTCCTTAGATTGTGTAACTTATTTTTTTCTTCCTGGTTTATGTCTTTACTTGATATTACGTAATCTCCCTCTTGCATTTCATCTATAATAATTCATTCCAAAATTGTTACACATTAGTGTATGCAGTATCTATGTTTGAGACCAATTTTTTTTTAGGACTATGCAAATTGCAAAGAGGGGAAAAGAATAGAGGGAACATTGTATGATTGGCAACTGTCGTGTTTCTCCATTTCTGTTGTGATTTTTGCAATTGATTAATGTTTTTTTCTTAATAAAAAAAAATGTGTCTAATTTTCTATCCATTCTTCAGCGCACACCTGGAATGGAACCTTGATGGTCTTCTGGATAAAATTTGGGAATATCTCAGCTTAACTCGTATCTATACTAAACCTAAAGGGATGAATCCTGACTACGAAGACCCTGTAATATTATCCTCTAAGAGGAGGACAGTTGAGGACTTCTGCAATCGCATTCACAAGGACATGCTTAAACAGTTTAAGTAGTGAGTACTTTCTCTTCTCCCAAAACATAATGTCTTTAGCTTTATTCCTTCATAATGTTGAGTGATTTCTCCATTTTGTGTTAATGAGGAGCAACGAATATGAAGATTAACTGGGCTTTTCAACTAGAAGGCCTAAATTCTAGTTAGTTTTATTAGGAAGCCTTTCCTTAATATATATGAAGCACTCTTTAGAATATTATCTCATTTAGTTTGATGAATGAACTAGTTTGGGGGGTGTGGCATTTTGTTTTTTGTCAATAAATCCTCCCCTGTGCCCTTCGAAAAATTATGTTTTTCCTCGCGTACTTAACGCTCACATTTATGGATGATGCAGTGCTTTGGTCTGGGGTTCAAGTGCGAAACACAAGCCTCAAAGAGTGGGCAAGGTTGATTCTGATTTACTTTATTTTTTGCCTCATTATCTTTTCTCGTTGTGTTTTTCTTTATTTCTCCCTCATTGTTGAAGATATCATGTAATAAGTGGAATGTGTTTTTGCGTACCAGGAGCATGAACTTGAAGACGAAGACGTGGTTCAGATTATCAAGAAAGTATAATTTGTTATAATCGGAATCAATCAAAGATGATATTTTCTGAAAATGGATCAGAATGCCTGCACTATCGTTAGATTATTAGAGGATGTTCTGTGCAGAATCGAAGATCCCTTCGTGAGACTTTCTACAGGATAGTTAGATTACCCTCCAATTACTTGTCTTTTTTAAGTTGGGGGTGAGGTAGAATTTATTAAAGTTTGATGAGTCGTTAAACCATTAGTTCTTTGCCGTTTGTCACGCAAGTTTTGGAAATGAAGTGTCTTGTGGGATTATCCATCCGTGTCTAAAGTTGAATAATTTGGCGTGTACTTGTAAACATTGATAGGATTTGTTCGGTGGATATATATTATTCTGGTGTACATGCTGCTGGACATTTATAACAAAATGATGGCATGAGTTTGATACAGCATTTACATGATTTGTTTTTAAAATTTAGGTGAGACTCACTCTCAGGTCCTCCTCGACGGCACGGAGGTTTGTGACATGACATCAAAGGCGCAAAGATGAAATCGTAAGATTTAACTTTATCATTTTTAAAAAGGAGTCTTTATATTAAGAGTTGCAATTTCAGTAAAAGTAGATCTCTCCATCCTTTTATATATAATAATTTTCATCAAAGAGCATTTACATAACTTTTTAAAATTTAGAGTTTAGAATTTAAGGATAAATTTATAAAATATTTTTATGATTATTCAACAATTTGAATTAATGAAATGAAATATTAAATAATTATTAATTTTTATAAAGTTTTGTAAATTTAATTTATATATTAAATTTTTTTAATTTAATAATTAGATGGTTAAAATTTGATCTAATCCAAAGTTCGAGCTTGAATGATAAAATAAGTTTAAATTTATTGACATTAGTTTTGTAAATATGTAATTTTAGTTTCAAAATTTTTATTGTAAATTTGATTTAGTTTTTAAAATTAAGTAATATTAATTTATTATTAATGTATTATTTTAAAATTAAGCAAAAAAAAAAATATATATATATATATATATATATATATATTAATTATTTGACAGTTATTTAATTATGATGACTTTTTATTAATGTAGCATTATTTTTTAGTTTTTAATATTACTATTTTTAATGCATTGTTAACTAACTATAGAGAGCATTACTTACAGATACTTTTCAGTAATTTCTGCACTCCTTGAAATACCGCACGCATTTTATAATAATCCTAACCTACAGCTTGAAGAGAATTCGTCAACTGTGAAGCTTGCCTTTGGAGTTGGAGATAGCAAAGTAGGGTTGGGGAAACTCTCAAGCCCAACAGGGTGTAGAAAAATTGAGGAATGACTTTGGATTTAGATAATTATAAAGCTTTTTTTATATATATTTATAAAGTTAAGAATTTCAGCGCTTTCTAATAACAACGTGAACATAATTCATCTTTGTATGAAACTAGCATTTAACCCGTGTGACGCACGGGAATTAAATCGATATTAAAATGTTACATATTAAAAACGTCTCAATTATGTACATAAAGATGTGCCAATTACATGTATATTTTTATTGGCAGAATGAGTTTTATCCGGAACCAATTATGCGGTTGTTGCAGTGGCTTAAGAATTTTTGAAAAAGATAGCATTCGGTGTTTAACTCAAAATACAATCATCAAAGCACATGACAGTTTTCTATTTCACTCATTGTAGTCCAATCTGATCTGTAAGCATTCAACTCCAAACTGAATAATTAATTGAGGAACAAGAGCAAATGAAATTTCAAGATCAACACGTTACTGTGCTGGAAGCTGGATTAATTCATCATCAAATTTTGGAACAGGTAGTACAAATTCAAGATTCCTGAGGGCAATTTACATGTTTACCATCTTCATCTCTAATTGATACACAAATTTCAAACTACAACGCAAGCAATATAGAATCACCTATTGGAGATTAAGACTTACATGAAAGATTTGTTTTCCCAAATCAAAAACAAGTGCGAGGTAATGATGACCAAGCGCAAAACGATAAATGTCCCCTGTCCACGGCGCTCGGCAGAAAAGAAAATGTTGTACATTCCCTTCGGTATCAAGCTTTTACGCAACAGTTGAAGTAGCTCAGGAAGCTCCTCCTTGTCTGTCAGGGAAAAAAAGTTCAAACAAAGATGCAATAATTAGGCACGACATATATCCTAGTCCAATGTTTTGTGGATCTACAGAATGAACTTGACTTCAAAGTTCCACTAATTTTTTTAATAATACAACCGATCACCATTTTTTATTGCCCTTTTACCAATGAAATGAATGTAACTGCCACAAACATTCCTTGCATGTGCAACAACTACAATTCCGTGTTGCCTTGGCCTTTTAATAGAATATATCTACATATAATTATTAATATTTACATCCTTCAACCTAACCACCGCCCCTGCTCAAATTTGTGCAAGCATTAATTTAAGAAAAAGGGAGAAGTTTATCATGGGTCTTTTCCAGTAATGCATAATTTAATATATCCTTTTTTTACTTTGGGCAGAAAAGTATTAGTATAAGCTTTCGCTACCTGCTTTGGCCAAAGAAACTGATGGATTACTACGTGAATTTGTCACTAAACGGCAGGCCTCGACCTCAGTGACCTATGTTGTTTTTTTATAAGCTACTAGAACCTCCTTGGCAAGGGTGTCATGTCGGGTTGTATTTGTCTTTGTTTTCCACTTTTCTTCGATAAAAGGTTTCCCTCATTATTTTTTCCACTCTATCTCTATTCTCTTCAAATCATGTCCATTATTATATAAATATATGATACTGTTGCTAGAAATGTTGAAAACTACAATTTTATGTGTTTTACCCGCCTAAAATATCATTTAGTTCATTAATTTTTTGGTTTTGCCTCTTTTCTTTCCAAGAATTTTTCGTATTGAAGTGGGTGGGCAGACTAAAGATTAAATATGTCAAGTTTAATTGATTCTTTATTTGTGTTTAATCCAACCCTATGAACATTTGAGGCTAGGTTCCTTTAACACTAGACAATTAAAGAAGAAGAAAATAATTAAACTTGAAGAAGGGTTTAAACGAAAAAATAGAGCAATTATTTTTATGATAAGAAATCCCCTTGTCAACTTGTATGCCAATTAAAAGATATTTTAATTCAACGTGTGGTTCGATATGTGTCTTTGCTTGGTTGAAAGAAACAGGTGATTAGTGTTGTTCAAAATTGCCCTTTATTGCAAAAATGCTCACTGTACCTATTAAGTAAAAATGCAAGACGCTCATCTTCTCTAGTGAGTTACAATGCTGACCACTCCACCATATTGCCCGATGAAATATTTTTTTTTTACAAAATTTCAAGAGTGACTTTAGATAGTAGCTAACAATTCTTTCCACTGAATCAGAAAAGATAGTAGCTAATAAAATAAAGAATAATAAAGCTGGGGAGAAATCTTACAGTTGGAGAGTTGGTTTGGTGGTAGTGGGGATGCTGGTGCTCACTGTCGACAGTGTTTGTATTGTTAGTGGTAGCAGATATCAGTTCCTCTTCATTACCAAGACTTGCCCTTGAAATATTTGTCTTGTTTTGCTTCCTCATTTCCCGAATTTTAGAGAAATCCAGAGAGTAGTCTGGCACTTGTCCCTTCTGATCCCAGTCCCCAAACTGTGGCACTGATAGCCAAGGAGCATTTTTCTACAGTGAAATTTTATAGGTTAGAAGGCTGATCACCATAATAAAACTATCTTTAGTTAATTATTGAAAGTTTTCAATAATGTACTCATCATAAGAAAATGCAATAAATTAGACAGCACAATAAAACTTCAGAAAACTAATGATTAATTTTAATTATTGAAAGTTTTCAATGCAATCCAGAAGAATCACCACAAGCATCTGCTAAAGCCAATGTGCAGATAAAGTTTATGAACTTCACCATACATTTTCAGAAGAAAAGAAAACTCAATACAATTGCACTAGGGATTTATTTGAGTAAATCTATTTAGAAACACTTCAAAGAGAGCAAAATAAGAAGAGAAAATGAAATAATTTTTTTCTCTCTTTTGAAGAAGTTCTCTCCTATTAGTTTTTTCCAAATTTTAATTTTAAGTCATGTATAAGATAATTTTAGCTTATAAAAAAATCATTTTAATTTTGAAAATAAGTATGAAGAAATTTTTATCTACATAGGTCCTAAAACACACCTTCTACTTAATAATATCTTTAATGATATAGTTTTTGACTTTTTGGAGTTCATCCGACAGAATTTACAAGATAGAAAAAAACTTCATTATATTCAAACAAGATACAAATAATGAAAACAGTATAACAGATAATTATTCATTTCATCATTTTTCATGACTGCTATAGATTTTCAAATTCCCCTAGTCCTCAACCATCCGATCATCCACTTGCTTCAGCAAGGGATTTCCGATTACTTGCGCGACCGCGACACTGATTTCATCACATCAAAGCTTAAAACACAAAACTAATCGATTCATTAAATCAAACAGAGCTTGAAGTGAAAAAGTATTATCATCATAGAAGCGTCTATTCACGAAGCACAACAAAAAGTTCCAACAGCACGAGCGAGAAAAGCGACAAATCCAACTAAATCAGAGTATGCATAAGCTTTCAACGACCGAAACAAAAAACGAAGAATAGGAACTAGACTCGCGCGCTACTAAGATTTTCAGGTGCGATTCGCTCGGAAGCATCGATTCCGAGCAAACACTAGAATCGTTGGATTCCATTCGATTATTTTTCCACGTCTTTCTTAGCCGCGAAACACAGAGCATCGTCTCAGGGGAAAACGCACGCGTTTAGAGAGAGAGAAATCGGAATTTACCTCCTTACTTTGCTCCATGAAAGTGATTTGAGATCTCGAGAGAGTTCAAAGATGTGGCACAGCCTTTGCTATTGAAATGACGATAGATAACAAACACACCCGTTCCATCATCTATGTTCTCAATATATATATACACCACAAAATAGATCATTTTTTATTTTTTTTTTCTTAATAAAAACACACACATTCACTTTTCCTATAGTTTATCAATTTTGATAAAATGAAATAGTAAATAATATATAATTTTATTTATCATTAATATAGTTTTAGTTAATAAAAGTTCAATGATATTAATGATGGGCAAGACGAAGAAATCAAATTATATATTAGGGGAAAAGGTAAAGACAGAAAATCTCATTCGTGATTCGACATTATATATATTAGGGAAAAAGAAGATTGTGGTGGGTACGAATTATTTTTATTATTTAAAAATAAAAAAATTATAATATAGGAGGTTTTTATGGTGATAAATATATAAGGTAGGCGGTTCCTTTCTCCTTTAATTAAATTAAAAAAAAAAAAAGAAAAGAGCAGTATTTTGGGAGTTAGTTACACAGTGTAGGATAGTTGGATTGGAGTTGTCTTGAATAAGGGAGTATATACTAATAGCGTAGCAAGGTTCTTTATTTCATTTATTACTCTTTTAATTTATTGTACCTTCTTTCCGTGTTCTTGTGTCCACCTCTTGCTTTCGCTTTTCTAGCTGTCTTCCCTTCACATAATATTCTCCTTCTCCCCATTTGCATCCCACTAGTATCATTTATTCTGCATTTTTATTTTTCACACATTTCAACACTATTCATTATCTACCATTCTTCATTTCTCTTTAAAATAATTCTTCATTTTTCATGTACTGAATTTATTAGAATAATTTTTTACTTTTAATTAATAAAAATTCAAAATACGTCTCTAAATATTAAAATAGTAGTATTTTTTGAAGGATGAAATTAATTCATACTTCAAAGTTAAATAATTAAAATAAATATTTTTACTTTAAGATAGAAAAGTATATTTTAGCCTATTTTTCACCTATAACTTAGTAAAAAACAAGAAATATTTTATTTAATATTTCTTATATAATATTAAAAAATTTATAAGAATTTGTGAGATAACCAATTGTTTATATTATACAACTATATACTGCTATGTATTATAAAATTCATAAAATAAGTCAAGTATAAAATAATTTAAATTAATTAATAATATTATATTTTTATTTTAAATATATATCAAAATTAATCTCTTATTATAAACTCCTTATTTGTTTAGTTCTTATCCACTATAACAAAGAAAAATTGTCTAAACAAGTCAAAATTATTGTCATTTTTTTAAAGGAAAAATGAATATGAAAGTCACGAGGTAGAGTTTATTAGTCTCTCAATGATATTGATAATGATATTGACATACTACTATATGCATAAAATATTATGATAAAATAATCATATTTATACATTTTTTATTGAAAGAATTAAAATATGGTACTTAGGTGAAGTATTTATAAATAAGAGTAATATTAGAAAAACGATTAACATTTTCTAATTTTTGAAAAAAGTATTTTTAAGACAAATTAAAAATTTAAAAGGGCATATAATATCAAACAGAAGAAATAATCAGGACCAGCTAATTTATTTCTTCTACTTCAAAATTAAATGAACCTTAAAGTCGTACCTCGAGACAATGACAGATAATAAGAGTGCAATCCTTTTTCCAAAAAAAAAAAAAAACGCGTAAAAGATTACTGTAAAAGGAAACAATCATTGCCAAAGCAAGCGGGTAAAGGAAACGAATCAAACGATGGATAGCTTAACGAACATTAATTATTACATTTTTTTTCTCTCAACTTCTTTAGTTTCAATTATTTGAACTTTGAAGTCGTCATTAGGCGTGACACGGGTTGGAACGGATTCAGGTTAAAAATGTTTTTTTCAATTAAAAAAAATAGGTCCATTTTCAATCCCTACAAAAAAACAAAAAAAAAATCCATTTTCGGGTTATATGGATGGGTTCAATCGGGTTGGGCCACAACTATTTGGGTCATAATTAGTTATTACAAAGCATTCTGACTTCCACCTCTGACCTATACCTTGACCCAAACCTAAAAAAGCATTCCAACCCCCACCTTTGACCTTCACCTCAACCTAAATAGTTGTAACCTTCGACTGTGAGCTTGAACAGAAATGAAAAGAAATGTGATTTTGGATTTGGCTATTTGAAAATGGAAGGAGATGTGGTTTTGGGTTTGGTCGTTTGGGAATGGAAGGAGATGCGGATTTGGGTTTGCGATTTAGGAACCTAATCTTCCATTGTGCTAAGTTTATGGAGAAGAAGGAGATGAGCAAACCTTCGTTATCACAACACTAGTCACTAGGGTTTTGAGATGGAAAGGTTTGAGTGGCACTAAGTTACGAATCAAATGTGTAAAATTCCTTTTATATCTAGGTTTTTAGTGATCAAGTTTCGATCGAATTCAGATATCACAAGTAAAGAAATTTAAAACCGAACTCCACCATCAAAACCCATTAAAATTCGATTTTCCAAATTCAAAAATCTAGACACCCAAATTAGCCTGTCTGTAGTGCATCTTTGATTGTAGATTGCTTCGGTTTCGAGCAGCCTCAGAAGTTCTGATCACGCCTAGTCGTCATTATAAAAATGATGGAAATAGTTAAACAAATTCAGCACAGGAAATTGTGCAGGAAAAAACTATACTATCTACAATAATTTTATAAGGTTTGTGTTTTTATTTTTTAATGAATTTTTATTTACCTGTTGTTTAAATTTTTAAAATGATGTTAATTATTAATTTAAATGATTTTTATAAAAAAATAGAAAATAATGATTTGTACATTATCAAACTAAATAATTAAAAAGATAAATAAAAATAAATACTATGTAGTATAAAATTATAAATAATTTTGATAAAAATGAAAAAATTAACTATTTTTTAATTTATACCGAACAACTTCAAAGTTTAAACAACAAATTAAAACAATTGTAGGATCATTTTTTTCATGAATCACTCATTTTTTTTCTTCTATTTATTGTAATATTATGTTTTGATTTATTATTTATTTAATTTATATTAATTAAATGACTTATGTTGATGTGTTGTTTTAAATATTTTTAAAATCTTATAATTAAACTCTTGTAATTAAGGAATTTTTATAAGTTTAGTTGTTTGGGGTTGTTATGTGTTGAAGTCAAAGTTGACCAAGTTAAAGGAAGGTATATAAATTTTTTTTTAAGACTTGAACTAGGGATGACAATTGGGTGGAACAGGTACAAATTTCATTATTCTCGTCCCTATTCCTATACTCTATACCCATCCTCGTCTCCATGTCTAACGAGTATGAGATTTGTATCTTCATTCTCGTCTCTGTTAGGTATCGAGTATCTGCTAAAAAATTAATAATATATTTTCTTAAAAATAAATATTAAAAAAAATAATAATTTCAACATAGAATAACAATTATAAAATTACATTAATTAAGTTTTATTTAACATAATTTTTTTAAAAAGTAAGAATTACATAAATGTTAAATAAATTTTAAAAAATAAAAATAAAATTTCTAGAAATTTAAAGTAGCTACAGGTATGAGTACGGTTATGGAGCGAACATATATATGTATATCCATCTCTATTCTGTCTCCGTACCTAATTTAATAAATAAAGTATTATCCATATCTAGTCAAACTAGATATTCTCCGTCAAAGTTGAGGTGAGTTTGACTATTATCCACGGGTACAAGTTCACTTGCCATCCCTAACTTGAACTTCATAAGTTTATTTCTTCAAAATTTAGGGAGAGGTTTTAAAGAGATAGACTATATAGTCTGTAACACTGTACCTAGGTTAAGTTGGGTGAGTTGTGAGGGTCTCTAACCAAAGGTTCAATTGACCTTGAGGGAAGGCAATATATAAGGCTTATTCTGAGAATTGGGTCTCATAAACTCAATATCTTAAAGACCTTGGACAGAAAAAGTAGAGCGAGAAGTTCTAGAGTTCTGATACTTCTTCTCTTCTTTATAGATTATCTAGAGGTGTGAGCGGCTTTTGTTGATCCTTGAGGTGGTGATCCGAAGTTGTAGAAACTGAGGATTTGGTGCAGGTGTAGAGTTTTCTCAAAGTTATTCTCTTTCTCTTCCTCATTTCTTTATCAAGGTGGCTAAGAATTGAGGTAAGGGAAGTTAGGCTCGATTCTTATTGAGTTGTTGGGTTGTATGCGCCTAAGATTGTCTAAACTCTTGGTTGTTTGGCAGAATTTGAGGTGGGATTTTGGTGCATGTTGAGTTCTTGGTGTTTTGAGCTCATGGGGGGTGATTTTGATGAATGATGCAAATTGACTTGCATGTGTTATTTCTTGATGATTTTGAGTCTTATATGACGTATGTGGACTTGGATGCTTTGCATGCTTTAGATTTCCTGATTTTTAGGTACTTGGGGCGATTTGCAAAGTTTGCATTTGCAGATTTCTAGTGTCACACTGGGCGCGCCTTCATAGAGCCAAAGGCAGTTCCAATTAGAGGGCTTTGTCTTGGTCCACAGACATATGATTGGAGGCGTTGGGCATGAGGATAAAGACGAGAATTGAGTTGGGATGGTTTCATACATGGTTTGAATGTTATCGGGCATGATAGCGTTGGAAGGTTTATGACTTGGTGACGTTGGGCCCTAATTTGGTGGCGCCAAGTGTGATCAAGATAGAGGCTCCCTACTTGAAGGACGTTGGGTGACACTGAGGTGATGTCGGACATGAGTCAGGTAAAGACTCTCTACTTGATATGAGGTTAGGTGTGGGTTTTGCCACGCTAGGCATGAGGTCCTAGGAGGTCTCCACCTTAGTCATGTCGAGTGCGATTTGGATGGTGTTGGATGCAAGCAAGGTAGAGAATTTCTTGCCTCAATGGTATTGGACGTGAGGTATGTTGTGCCGAACATAGGATGCCTGTATTGTATGTTGATGTTTTGGTGAACTTGTATGATGAACATGAGTAGTTTATTTCATTCTAATGCATGCAACACGGTGTATGAGGATTATAGTTCTATGTATATTGATTTGGGATGATATATATAGATGATTGTATGATGTATGCTTTTGGAGAGCATTGATATGACGTGTATGAATGATGTTGTTGATCTATAT